AGGTGCCTCTGGCACCTCCTCACCCCCCACGGCCAGACAGGGGAGCCTGGTTGTCCTCAGTGCTCCTCTGCTTCAGCTTGTTTAATTCATGGGAATTTATTCAGCTTAGAATCACAGAATCACAGAATCATTTTGGTTGGAAAAGATCTTTAAGATCATCAGTTCCAACCATTAACCTAACTAGCAAGTTGCACACTGAGCCATGTCTCTTAGCACTACATCTGCATGGCTTTGAAAAACATCCAGGGACAGCAATTCAACCACTCCCTTGGGCAGCCTGCTCCAGGGTTTGACAACCTCTGGATTTTTCAGGATTTTTCCTAATGTTCAACCTAAATCTGGTGCAACTTGAGGCCGTTTCTCACCAGACTTGTGCTCTAGACCCTTCCCCAGCTTTGCTGCCCTTCTATGGACATGCTCCAGCTCCTTAATGTCCTCCTTGGAGTGAGGGGCCCAAAACTGAACCTGGGATTTTAAGTGTGGCCTCCCCAGTGCTCAGTCCAGGGGGATGATCCCTGCCCTGGTCCTACTGGCCACACTAGTGCTGACCCAAGCCAGGATGGTGGTGGCCTTCTGGGTCACTTTTAGCTGGCTGCCAATCAGTACCCCCAGATGACTGGTGGCACTGAGCTCAGATGACTAGGCAATGCTGTCAAAATAAGTTTTGAATCTATTTTCTCCTCAGAGCAAACATAAATCTACAAACCATCACCTCTTCCTCTAAATGAAACCAGCATCTCTAGCAGAGTCTCCTGGTAGGGTACAGAGGTGGCTGTGGACCCTCCTGTCCCTGTCCCTGGCATGGCCTCACACCCCGCTCCCCAGAGGGTCACTCCCAGCTCATCCCACTCTGCCCTCGGTTTGGATGTGGAGCTTTCTCCAGATCCAGGTCTCAATTAGTTCATGACAAATGACTGCAAGTGAATGAAATCCATTTTTCGTCTGTGCCTACTGAGATTCAGGTGTCAAAGTTCCAAGCCCACCTCCTCAAGCCTTTCCAGCTCAGAGCAGCTAGTGCTGGCACACCGGGAAGAGCAGCCAGCTCTGGGGTTCGGCACCCTAAAGCACGAGGGGACTCGGGAGGGGATGGGTGCTTGTGCCCTGCAGCTGGGGGACGCCCCTGGGCACAGCCAGGCGGCTGGGTCAGCGTGCGGAGGGAGCCAGCACCTCACCTCTCCTCTTCGCCCGAGCCAGGACGTCCGCAGCAGCTCTGCTCATGACCTTGGTGACGTACAAGGGGCAGTTGGCCTGCCTGGCCACGGTCACCGCGCGGTACACGGCCTCGGCTTCCACCTGCGGGACCAGAGCGGAGGCAGGGGGGGCTCGGGGCCCTCTGCCCAGCCCCCGTGCCTGCCAGAGACCTCACCTCCTCGGGGCGGCTCAGGACGTGACCTTCGGGCCCAGTGATCCCAAGCTCCAGCAGCCTCTTCTGCTCCTAGGTGGACAGAGGAGCGGAAGGGCGCTCAGCGACAGGAGCAGCCTGCCCCAAGCAGCGCAGGGCACAGACCTCCTGAACGCTGAGGGCAGCTCATGAGCACGCCCAGGCGATGCCATCTGAACCTCTGCCACCTCACAGACCACCGTGGCTGCTCCCTAGGAGACCCATCTTGTTCTGTGGAAGCATTTCTAAACTGGGAACTGCTGTGTCCCAACAGCAGCTTTGGACCTTCCCCACTCTTCAAACCCAGCGAGAGTCCTGGAGGAGATGGGATTTTACACCCATTGCTGCTCACTCTAAGGCTGTGCAGGGCTAGGGCAGGGATTGTCCCCTGGTGCTGGTCAGTGGGAGCCTGCACCTCAAACAGTGGGTCCAGTTTTGGGGCTCTCAGCACTACAGACCCGACCTCACAGCACTGAAGGGCCCTGCTCCCCAGGGAAGGTTCTTGCTCTGTACTCCTGTTCCAGACATCCTCCAAGTTTGTCCCCAGGGCTTGAGTGTGACCACGCTGGCAGCTTACAGAAGCACTTCTGTAGCTATTGAACTGCCTGGGACCACGTTCTGTGCCACAGCCAGCCAAAGAGAAGGTTTCTGAGACAGACTCCCAGGCAGGTGGGAATTACCCTTTACCCAGTTGGTCCAAATAAGCCCATCCGGAGGATTGGGATCCCACTTTCATTTTAAACTCCCCTCCCACACCAGGCTGGACACTTGTGTGACCATGAGCTCAAGGAACTGCAAGTCTAACTCCAGCTTGTGTCCCCTGACTGGAGTATGTAGCTAAGATTTTCTTTTCTAAAGGTAAAAAGGAAAAATAATGAACAGGAGCAAATTCTGCGACACCAAGGCAGCTCCTGAGCCCCCTGGGTGGAGATGAATTTTGGCAAGTGTAAGGGACATTATGCTGCCAGTGTCCTTATTTTGTCAAGTACTCAAGGCTTCTAAACAAGATAGAGGTGATAAAGTCTCATTAGGAGAGTCAGTCATCCTTTAAGAAGCACCAAAATATACTTGCTGGGAACCACTGAACAGTGACAGAATGGCAGGGGTGGGAAGGGACCTCTGGG